AGAGGGGCGTGGGAGGTACAAGAGGATGAGACTGGCACCTCCCTGAGGAATTCACACTGTTGTGGCTGGATGGCTTTGGAGCTGGGGTTTCCGTCCGGGGAGATTCTTTCCAGAGGTTGTAGCTAATAAACAAAGCTGAACTGAATTTGCATTGTCTCTTGGAGTTCCTTGGGCTAGGCCTGACAGCAAGCTACTTACCATCTTGTGAATGGAATATAGCTCCTGTCTTCTGGTGCTGGAAATGTTGCTTCTCACATCTTCATAAACAAAGTCATATACATCCATCATGGCATTCTCAACCTACAAAGATGACATTACCATCACAATTTATAGATGTCAATAATTTGGTAATAGAACATGGTGTTTGGTGTGTCTTTGCATGTTTTTGTACATGTTTTCCCTTCATATATGTATGCAGAAACTGGGAAACCCTGAGTTCTAGTCTCACCTTAGACATGAAGCCAACTGGGTGACTTTGGGCCAGTCACTCTCTCTGAGCCCTAGGAAGCAGGCAAGGGCAAACCACTTCCAAAATCTTGCCAAGAAAACTGCAGGGACTTGTCTAGGCAGTCACTGGGAGTCAACACTGACTTGAAGGCACAAAATCAACCAACCGTGTATTTTTGCACATATGTCATTGGAAAGTCCAGAAAAAACAGTAGATTTGGGCATAGTACTGTGCTCTAGGTCATCTACACATGGAAGGATTGGGAACTGGGGAGACTTGCACTGATGGAAAACTGAACAAATTCATCTACAGTGGTTACACATGCATGATACAGTAAGCTGCTACTGCCAATGGGTAGTGTACTTAGCAGCCTGAGCTCTGCCATCTGCAAACTGATAAACACAGGACTAATTTCTCAGTAATTACAGTTATGAAATTCTCAGTATTGGAAGAAGTTCTGCTGCTAGGAGTGTGCATAAAATGAAAAGTGTGTCTTGTTTTAAACCTGAAACACATGTATCACAGCTTAGAAGTTTGACTGAACCTTTCTGGATGGGTTGTGGTTCAGTTCAGCCAAACTCTGGAAGAGTTTGGTTGCTCTAGGTGCTATAATCTGAACATTTGGACAAGTCTTCCCCATTCAGAGCCTCAGGCATCATACCAAAAGATGGACAGAAAACCCAGATATGTTGGGAAGAAATAGATGAACTGCATCTGTTCTTTCATTACTGCTGCACTGATAACCTCACATGTACTTCTTAATGCCTACATAGAGTTACTTCCTGGGGAGTAACTCTTCAAGATTTTAAACTGGAACCTTCCCAGATCCAAAAACATGGTCCTAAAACCTCTGATTTTCCCAGAGACTTTTTCCATACCTCCATGGAGGTTGGACATACCATGCTTGAATCCAAGGGAAGCAGTGGCAGTTCACCCATCCCTCCTCTGATCTTGCAGCACCTTCCTTTCTTCACCTCCCCTAGGTTGCCTCATGTCTCTGCTCCCCTGAAATTCAAAAGTCCAGATCCAACCCTGCCCTTGATCTTCCCAGTGTCTGTCTTCCTCTACTTCCTCTTAGCCACCGGGTGTTGCTGCTGTTGGCCTTCCCTTTTTCCTGCTCTCCTCACCCTGAAATACTTTCCAACTTTCTCCACCAAGAAACACCCATTTTGGATTCAACATAACCATCTGAAAGTGGTGGTTCTGTGCTTGAAACAGTTTGCACGCCAGATGTTTTGCAGCCTTTCTTCCTGCTAAATGTAGTTTATTGCTCAGTTTTAGGCAACTCATACCCTGTTTGTTTTCTCAGACTTAATTAATATGGGATTCAGTGGACAATTACACCATTAGTAATTCTGACTGCTTGATATAATTCTGGGGCGGGGGGGCGGGTATTATTTATGTTCACACAGAGAGAGCTTGTTTTCAAGATGATTGCCTTCAGTATTTTAAAGATAGAAAGACAACTAATAAAAATAGCATATGTACATTTTGCTAAAACAGAGTGAATATGGAAAGTTTGGAGTATTTTATTAACTTGATGTTAGTTGGGTTGGCTGGTTGGTTGAAAATTATTCAATAAAAGTGCATTAAAACTGAGGAAAGGTCCAATAAAGGACTAATCAAAGGGCCATTAAAATAAATGTAACTTTATTGACTTTAGTGAGATTTTAAAATCTTTGTTTTAAAATGAAACCATTTTGTGGAGATATGCATGGCATCACTCCAAGAACAGTTTAAAAATACAGAGGAAGCTAGTATTTTACTGAAGCAACCCAAAAGCAATGAACCAGTTCCTTTCATTACACAGAACTCAGCAACTAAAACTTATGGATAAAGCCTTTTGTTAGACTCTATCTCATATTTTACCAGTTCATGTCCCTGCATTATCTTCTGTCTCTATTTGCAGGATTTGTAAAGTGTCCCTTTAAAAGGGTTATGTGTGTAGGGAACTCTGGGGTACCTTTTAAAGTGAAGCTCTAAATGTTGTGCATTTGTTCAATCAGCTTGGTTTGTAGGCTGCTTTTTGAAGATTTTAAAATTATACAGTGGTATCTCGGGTCATGAACGCTTCTATTCACGAACAATTCGGTTCACAAACAGCACCATTTGCAAAATTTTGCTTCCGTCCGCGAACTCCGCATCGGCTGATGAACAGGATCCGCGGCCATTTTCCCTGCTGTGACACGTGGTCATGGTTTCCTGTGGGGGGGGGGACTCTCCCTCCAAACAATAACCGCCTCCCCACCCGCCTTCCTGTCCTCCACGCCAGAGTCGCCTCAAGCAAGGTTAGTGTTCTCTCTCTTCGTACTGTACTCTGTGTCATATTTTTGTGGTTAAAAAAAAAATACATATGGTTCAGAATGGATTAACCATATTTACATTGAACCTTATGGGAAAATTTGATTCGGGTCGCGACCGATTTGGGTCGCGACCAGAGTCGCGGAACGAATGAAGTTCGTGACCCGAGGTACCACTGTATTTAATTCTGTGCTGTATGTACCGCTTTTCATTCAAAGAAGTTACAAAGCAGTTTGTTTAAAATATTTTCAGATTCAATAAAAATAACAGTAGAGTGAAAACAATGAAACAGTAGCTGAATAATTACTAGGACAGCTGACCAAAGCATATATAGGGAAAATGTGGGCAAATAAATAGGTGTTTAAATTATGGAGGAAACTGGCTACAGTATTGTGAGTTCCAGTTTAACCTCTACACTTAGGCTAACAACAAAGCCTCCCCACTTCCCCCAAAAAAACCCATTATGGTTCCATATGCAACAAAGATTGGCCACAAATTGTATGACTTTTCTGTGGAAATTATTTGTGTGCTGAATGCAAACTCATTTTGTTTGTTTGTTTGTTTGTTTATAACATTTGTATAGCTGCCCATCTTAAAACCAAACTATGGGCAGCTTACAACCAATAAAAGCAATATATACAACCATAAAAGCAAAAAAGACAATAAAACCAAAAACAGAAAAACCCGGCGCCACAACCACACTTCCCTGATGAACCCACAACATTCTCACCCTGCTCTGACCTCACCCTATCCCAGCAGTTGGTGGAACAGCCAGGTCTTTAGTGCTTTCCGGAAGGTTCAAAGAGTGGGGGCTTAGCGGATCTCAAGGGGGATCATGTTCCATAAGGCAGGGGCTGCATTAGAAAAGGCACACTTCTGAGGACCCATGAGGTAGCAATGTTTAAGAGAGGGGACCTGGAGCGTGTCTACCCTATCTGCTCTGGGGGGATGGGCAGATACTTTCAGGGAGGGGCAATCCCACAGATAACCTGGTCCTGTTCCATGTAGGGCTTTGAAAGTGATGAACTGTACCCGGAAAGAAACTGGGAGCCAGTGCAGCTCATGCAACAGGGATGTAATATGGGTGAACCTAGGAGTGCCCAACACTGCACGTGCTCCTACATTCTGGATCAGTGTAACTTTGAGTGGTTTCAAGGGCAGCCTCAAGTGACAGTGCATTGCAGTAATCCAAATGGCCTCCCAGTCCAGGAAAGGGCACAATTGGGATGAACTAAGAAGCCCTTTGCAGGCCTGCCAATCCATATATGCATTCTTGAGCACTAATTTACAGCTAACACTGGTGGATTTTGAGATTCTTGTGAAAAACAAAGTAGGTCCTGTTAGCCTAAAATGTGTTCTTTTCTGTTCTAATTGAATATAACTTCCAGACTACTGTTTTGCCAATGATACTTTGTGGGGTACATCAGAAGTACTTAACTTCTAAGCTAGCCAAATGAGAAGTACACAAATTAAAGTCTGCTTTGGCTAGGAGGATGAGTAGTGAAAGACAGAAAGTTCTTTTTTAACTTCAGTTGCTTTCAATTACATGTGCGATTTTGGTACATTATTCATTATGTAGTCTGCATTATTTATCTTTCTTTGATTTCTGCTGAAGTAATATCCCAAAGGAAGAATGGATTCAATGGTACATCTAACAAAACTCTGGTCAAAAAAAGTTTCTGCAATAATAAATTTGCTAAAATGGCAAAAGTCTCTTTGTTTTATTGCAGCAATTTAATACTACAATTATTCTGGAAATTATTTTAGAATATTTTTCTCCTTAAGAATTAAATATGACAGTTTTCCCACTGATCACAGATGATTTAACTGTTAACAATTAATTTAAAATAAAATTTCATCTTAGGCACATTTTCCTACATCAGCACTCAGTAGAGTGCCTCTTGATTTTATGAAAACATGCATGGGATTGCTTGGAAAGTGAAATTTTCAACTGAAATAAATAATCAGTTTTCTTTTTCAGAAAATTTCTTTGTCAGAATTTTAAAAGAAAAAAAATCAGCATGTAAAATCACCCTCATGCACATACATATACATGTACTCTTCCCTTATTCTTTTCTGCACTTTCATTAAATGTATAGCCAAGGATGATTTCTGTAGCCAGCATAATTTAAAAAGCTTCTTCTGTTGTTATAATTACAGAACTATTTCCTTGTTACTGATTTTCATACCATGGACCAAAAGTGCAGTCCTATACTCTGAGTTCAATGGGGTACATTGATTATATATCTTCCTTAGTAAAGGAACACAGCTTAAGAACATAGGAAACTATCTTACATTGAATCAGAACATTCATTCCTCTAGTACTGCATTGCCAGTACTGAGAAACGATGGTTCTTCAAGCTTTCACCAGATGTTTATCCAGCTCTAGTTGGGAAAGCCAAAGATTGCACCTTGGTTCTTCTGCACGAAATGCTAGACCAGTGTTTTTCAACCTCAGTAACTTTAAGATATGTGGACTTCAACTCAGGAACTATATTTGGTGTGTCCCAAGAGGCAGGCCTTCTCTGCTGTGGTGCTGGCCTTATGGTAT